TTATGCAAAGCCATACACAAGTCATACAAAGTTTTTGGGCCACTGTCACAGGAGAGATGGCACTAGCAAGCTAGTTTATTCATGAGTTATGGCTATTGATTAAGCTAGTAATTGTGACGTCTCCCTTTGACATTGACCTCAGCAACTTTGTTCATGGCCCAAAATTTTCTTTATCATATAAAGAAGGGCAAGAAATAAGAAGAGAGAGCTGAGGGTATGAGAGTGGGGTGAGCTGTTATCGCAGAGAGATGGCACCAACTGGTTCTTAACGTGGTTGGTTACAACCCAGTTGGTTCCTCCTTCGCAGCGAGACCCTCCAACTTTGGTGAAAAAAGAGAAAAATCATTTCTATACATTAATCAAGGTATTTGTGCATAATTTCTCTTTCAATTTCGGCTATAGCTTTCCTAATTTTCATCAAAGTTTTACACTTTTGATTGTTTTGCAGTTTACTTCTTCATTTTTTGGGAACATGGAAACCTTCAGTGAACCAAAGAATTAAGATTCACAAAGATGGCAAACCCAATACACAAAACCCTTAACCCTTTTTAGGACTTAATGCCTATTATTAATTGAACTATATATAACCTTATAAAAAAACAAATATTGCAAGAATGAGATGTAGATATAAATTAATCTTTTATTTTTCTCCTTTTTAGCAATAATACTATGATTACTTGGGGTTAGTTTTAAGTTCATTTCTTTGTCCGAATGACATCAAAGATGATCAAGTTGATGATTAACGTTTATGGCATAGTTATATAGACAAAAATATTCATCCAGCTGTTTTTTCGTCGGCAAGTAACTATATATTTAAAGGACATTGATTATAAGTCTTGTTTTAAGGTTTGCACGCAAGTGAACCAGTTAATTAATGAATATGCAGCTTGTCTCTCCTAAGTGTCTCACTTTTTGGTTAATTATAGGAGTACTACAGCATACCGCTATCCATTCGTTTATTATGCGTCCGGGTAAGATAAGATCCATATACAGATCAATGTCTTCGTTCTACCTATATGAATTAATTATTAAATAAAAAATAATAGATTAAGAACAACGAGAAATCATCTGAAAAAGTCTACTGTCACATTCATATAGGAGCAGTGATTCTACATTTGATCAATATAGTCCTGTATCCTTAAAATAATCTCTTTCCATGTTGAAAACAAAGTATTACTATTGGCGCTAAGCATGGCCGCCAACTAATAATCAATTTGTATTACGTTAGGTTTTATGTCCTGATTAACAGAAGTTTGTTTATTTAGATTAATTTATATCAAAGGTTAGAGCGCCGAAATCTCACATCTCTTGTCTCCGTATTATATTAATGGCCATCTTGTGGAAGATTCTCAGTCTTTCTGTGAGTTTTCTGAAAAACCTCTTGAATGATGCCAATTCAACTTAAGATTCTATGTTTTGTTTTGTTCTCATTATTCCACATTGGTTTCAGACATAGAAACACTTGCCTCACAGCCATTCTCACAGTTGATGAGATAAATCTACGTGTTTAATATGATCCTCATAGTGCTCTTGGTCTAGATGGCTTTCCGGACTGTTTTTTATTCCTTCCGGATTTGTTGTCAAGATATAGCGGTTGTGTTCGACAATTCTTTGTGGATTCTTGGTTACTCCTGAGCTATTCGAATTTGACCACTCTAATTCCAAGAAGTCATGATGCAGATAAGTACTGTTTCTCAGTATTGGCCTATTTTGCTCTTGCTAATTTTATCTTTAAAGTTGATTCTACTAGAGTTCGCTTTTTGAGATGAAGCATACCACAACTGCACATATCAGTTCAATTAATATAACTTAGTTATCGTTTTCGAAAGTGATAATTGATAATTAACTACATAAATAATTAAGCCAAATAGATTTATAAACATGTATGATATCTAACCCCTGAAGAATTAATAACAGCAGCATAATGTTTATATTTTTTTAATTAACTAATTCCTCAGAGGTTTCTGTTGTGTTTGTTAATCAATTCTAACTCAAAAGGAGCCGATTGTCGAGATCAATCATATCTAGCCTTAAATTTCCATCTTTTTTTTGCAAGAAGTTTTAATAATGAACGGTTTTGGTTTGCTTTACAAAACAAACTACACTGATGAATTGTCAGTTCAGCAAAGTTCAGCTGAAACTTCAGAGGAAATTAAAGCATCTCATCTTGACTAATTAAACCTGAGGTGAAAAAGAAGGAAGATAGAGAAAAAAAACCTTTTTGAAAGAAAAGAAATTTTGGGAGAAGATTTTTCCTACGAAGATGGATGGAAGATTACTTTCATGGTAGCCATGGCCAGCAGACAAGCAGAATTAACTGATAAGACACACATCTTCAATGTTTTTTTGTTTTTGGTTAATTAGAACAGGTTCAAGAATATAATTCACCCAATCAATCGATCAACTATTTTAACTCAATTTTCACATGCTTATTATTAGGAATGGTTAAATTCTCTTAGCAAAAGTTAATCATTCATACATCTTAATTTCCCCAGTTCAATGAACTGTCTGGCATCCAACTAACTTTTCAGTTGAATAATATGCCATGAACACAACATATATTTGAGCAAATAATGTTATATATGTATACGATACCAAATTTTGATTTTGATTTTGATTTTGATTTGTGGCCCAAAAAAAAAAAGGACATCAGAATCTAAAGTAATCGAAGAATGATGACAACAAGACAGACAATTTCTGAGGTTTTAGTGGAATGCTTCCTGTCACAGCTGAAGAGTGGGGGCACTAGTCCCCGTCTCCATCTTTTTATCAAAAACCCCAATTGAATTTAATTTAAGTAGTATTAATTCTTCAAATTAATCTATAAAGTTATCATTTAAGGGGACCAGATAGCCTATACATTAATTAATATTAACACCCCATTAATTAGTACTATCAAAAGAAGCCAAGATTCCCTTAAATCAACAAATAGCACTAACAGATGAGATGAGTGTATAATGAAATTGATAAACATATACCGAAAACGACTTTAAAAAACTTATGAACTGACAATCGTATAGATTTTTTAAAAAACTTAGAGTTGGATGAAGAAGATATTGTATAGATTTTTTAAATAAACAAATAAATAATAATTGAGGTTTCGTAATTTCATCAACCATTTGACATCATGGTATGAGATATGAGGATTTCAAAACTTAGTATAATTATCTATGCATGTGTGGTCTTTCATTTGCACATCTGTATATATGTTTACGTATGCAACATGTACTTAAAAGCATACAATTGAAACAAGAACTATGAAACATGTACCAGTGGAGCTATGGAGGAAAAACCAAAGATTCACTTTCTCAGTCTTACGTTAATGAAGAAGATGAGATACAGAACCTCAGTAGTGGCTAGGATGATAACATCGAGATATACTTGGCATCTCTCTCTCTTTTTCTTTTTCTTCAAAAAGTTGATGTCCAGGTGCAATTCTTGGGCCCATTTTTATTGTTCGCTTGATTCAGAACAAGAGCGCCAATCATGGATAAAAAAGCATTAAAAATTTAAGACCAATGATTGTTCTCTTATAAAAAGAAAAAGCAGCAATAATTTAATTAATTTCCGCACTGGGAATTAAACATTAATTAATGTAAGTCAGTATTATTAGATGTCTTTATTATAAATATGATTTCTTTTCTTTTCATATCATCATCCGATGTATATATCAAGAAAAACTATATACTCCACTCAGAATGAAACACGTCACATGCTCACTTTTGTGGTATAGATTGATTAATCAACACCCTTCACTCATTAAGCTGTTACTATTGGCAACCTTTATGCACAAAAGTCTAAAGCTACAACTGAATAGGAACGTAAAAAGCTTTTTGTCTATAGCATTGGTGTTAGGAGATCAAACAACGCAACAAAAAATATACATTTCAGATCAATAACAAAAAATTAAAATCTTATCATACAAAAATATATGATATTTATATAACCCGTTTACATTCACAGATGAAAAAAATTTATTATATTTTCATAAATATGATATACAAAAGTATACAATATCATAAACCCAATATGATTAATAAAGCTTCTAAGTGTACTCAACCTAGTATCTAGAGCAAAAATAATCTCAATTTCTATGACACTCTCTCCATGATGTTTAATAACTCTTATATCAAATACCTTTTGTTCTTACATTCTCTCATATTTTTGTAATCTTGAATTGATTCTCACTCTTGTATTTATAGATTGGATATGAGACATTCTGATTCTAATGGAATTCATTTCAAATCCTAATAGGACTCTTAAAATTTATTCTTATTTACAATTGTATTATTTACTAAATAGTTTTTTCTAAAAACATACAATTTCACATAGAAACAAATAGGACAACGAGCCACAATATCAACAATTGTAAGTAAATACAATAATGTTTTGCTTACAACTCAGTCATACAACAAGATCAAAATTGCACAAAATTTATGTAAAATAACTACTCTGTCTTTTGTTTTTTGTTTGATTGTATGACTTAGTTGTAAGTATAACATTGCTCAAGTGGATAAATAATTCGATTCGTCTATTAGTTCCTTTTACTAGGCTTTGTGCAATGGATATTCGAGTAAATTTTCTAATTTCTACACGTCTATTTAACCATTCGTTGTAATAGCCCCTTTTTTTATGGGATTTTATTAAAGTTTATTTTTACGGTAATTTGTAAGAAATTGAAAACTTTCAGGGGTGCTTTAGCAAGGAATTAAGGACTGGAGGACCAGTTACACTTAGCAAAAGGACTTGGATGCAAGTGAAGAAGTAGTATTTTAAGGGGCTGTTAAAAAGTTTCAGAGTTGAAGGACTTGAGTAATTTACCAAATAGGGGTGCATAGAATTTTCCAGGGGTTGATTTGTGACATATCAAAACTTTTGTTCTTTGATTTAGGGGGTGAAATGTGACATCTTAATACTTTGGGGTAAAACGGGGCATTAAGTGGAATATTTCCAGGCCACCGTATAAACCCATTTTAGTTCATTTTTGCAACAAAATGAAAGAAGAAGCAACTTGAAAAGAGACTTGAGAGAGTGCCGAGAAGGAGAAATAAGAGAGGGCGTGGAAGTTTAGTGAATTTTTTGGTGATTTCGGTGGGATAAAGGTAAGCATCCAAATCATGGTTCCATTTTCAATTTCTTTTCCTTTCCTTGGGAATTTCTTAATCATTGGCTAAAATTGGAAACATTAGGTGAAGGAAGGAAGGAACCGGAGCCTTAATTTGATCAAGGAAAGGAGAAGGTTTTGTGGGTGAGTGGAATATTATTAAACTTGCATTTAAAATCATGTGTTGGTTGGAATGATCATATGCGTGTGCATACCCGATTGATTGAGGTTTTATTTTAGTTCTTTAGTTTTGAATTTCTAATAAATTGAAGATCTCCGTGACATGCATGTGTTTGGAATTGAGAGTATGAAATTATGTTTATGAAAATATTGGGTAAATTGCTATTAAAAAGAGGTACTTATGCGTTGCATGTTACTTATAATTAGGTATGGCTTTTACATGAATTGAATGATGTTGGAAATGTTTATTGTAAGAATTGTGGCCGGGATTTTTAGTTAAGCTGATGCATAACTAATTTGTACTTATTTTGCTTCGGCTGAGTGGCTTGAAGAGTGTTGGGTTGTGATTTATTGCTGGGAAATTGTTTGGAGTATAATGCTTTGCTAAATGACGACTTTGTGAATGCTTTTGGCTGGGTTAAATTGAGGAATGTTGGTGACAATTTTGTGTGCTGGAAATGGCATTGTATTGAGTGGGAGGACTTGTGTTGAACTTGGCATTTTCGGTTAAATTGAGTCTTGCATAAGTGCTGGAAATATGTTACATGTATTGTTGATTTATAAGCCAAAATGCGTTGTGAAAAGAGAAAGTTAATATTTGTGAAAAATGCTGAATTGGATGTGCCAATTTTCATGCTTTCTAAAGAAAAAGATAAAAAACAAACGTCTTTTTTATTTGCCTTGCTGGAACCCTTAGAAAGGTGGGGTAAATATATATTTTATGAGTAATACTACATTTACAAAGTCCCCATACAAAGATATATGTACAAAGTGATGTGTCATACCATGATTGGACAATGAATTTGACTTTAGTTAAAAAGTTGACTTTACAAATTCACTCTCCCAATCATAGTATGACACCTCACTTTGTACACACATCTTTGTATGAGGACTTTGTAAGTGTAGTATTATTCATATTTTATATGTTTATTGATTACGATGTTTCAAGCATTGCACAAATATTTTTGCATGCCAGTTTCCAAGGAGAACAAGTAGTTTATTGATATTATTTTTTTATATGTATATGCAGACAAGCATGCATAATTCATGATGTAATGGATATTCGGATGCAATGCGTGATGATGTGTTTTATCCATCAGATTGGAGACCACCTTTTATAGTATTTGTCCCCCTCCAGCCATCAGCTAGCATTTTATATTCATCCTTATGTGCCTATTGAGATGATTCATCTTATCGAACGATTGCGATATCTCACTGAGACAAGACAAACGCCTAACAAGTTCCAGACGGGATTACACCAGACAAGTATTGGCCGCTGTGGTATTTTAGATGCCCCCGAAGGTGGACCGTGGGCGGGATTTGTTTGATACTATATCATGACATCCCAATGGTAGTTCGTGGGTCGAGTATGTTTATCCAATGGTGATTATACCATCCCAAGGTAGACTGTGGTTGGTACCATCGTAAGGGTAGACTATGGGTGGTGTAGCTAGTTGTTTGTATTTGGGACCGACACGTGAGGGGTATGACTTAGGTCCCAGCGTACTGGTAGTGATTGTCTTCGGTTTATACGATCTTGGTATGTGGTTCCATAGCATCTGGAAATATTATACGGTGATTATTGCTTATCATATGAATGGTTATGATGTTGTATGGCATGCAACCAGATTTTCACATGCATGTTTTCAAGGTTAAAACATTTGTGTCTTGTGGCCTTTCGACATTTTTCTATGGACAGAAGAGTTGGATCTTCCAAAATCCCTCGATGGTCTTCATCAATTTTGTGGCACACTTAACAGTAAGTAACCATAAGTATATGTATATGTTAAAATTTATTTAATAGTTTAAGTTTTTGGGTCAAGTTGTTTCTTAACATAAGTCGAATCTCATGTATGCGGCGTCTTGTTATCTATCTTGGTTGTATGATTGTTTAGTTCTGTGAGCTATGGTCCCAGGGTTAACATTAGTTTTGTTGTAAATTAATTGTTTATTTGTATTCACTAAGGTTCATCTTGTTTTTCCCTTCTTCCTGGCTCTTCAGGAAGCTAATTTTTATATTTTCCATGAGCTGCCTCTTTCAATATATCAGTTAGAAAATCATTTTCATTTATTTTTTTAAAGTCATGTTTCTTTGTTGTTATATGATACATTTATCTGCCATATCCATTCTGCTGATTAATCAGATCATATATAGTGTGAACAGGTGAACCAGGTTTTGTCACTCTAGAGTGATAATATATAGTGTGCAATCTCCACTGATTTTGATTGAACAATTTAATTATTGATTAGATTGTGTAAATGAATGCTGAATTAATGTGATTTTTCTTAGCAGGCTAGTTGCCATTAGGATAACGGATTAGTTTGGATCTCTTAATAGTAGTTCAATAAATAAGATATTGTTCGTTTTGGCCGTACCCTACATAGATTTATCTTTTGAATTCACATAAATATCTTCCAAAACCTTCTCCTTATTTAGAGGATTGAAAGCTTACAGATAGACTGAACATGTCTATTTCATATGGAATGTTTAACCTGCAACAAATTACCGAGTAAATCAACTTTGAGACTGGATGCCCAAAAACATTTTATGTAACAACTATTCAAAAGGCCAAGAAGATATGGGCCTGGCTGAGAACATAAGAGGTTGTTTTTTATGGTTGTGTTGTGTGGGCTAATATTGGGCTAACCAAATCTGATCCACCAGGCCCAACTTTAGGTCCAATAAATGAAAGAAAACTGAATATCATATGCTTTGAAAAGTACTAATTAATCACCTTGGAGAAAATAATTGTTCTATAAATTCATTGAACATTCCTTGTGTGGTTAGCTTGTGAATAATTAAAGTCGTTCATTGACTTAAGTGTACAGTGAATGTGAAAAATTGATGTAGATGTCTTGTCCTAAAAGGGGAATAATTAATATTTTTTGACACCAAAAGTTATAACACAAACATATGAGCATTTGTGAAATTGAAACATAAAATGTCTATTCAATTTTGCACCTAATACTTAAGTGCTAGCTAGCTAGCAACAAAGTATGAAAAATGTGGCTGCTTTGCTTCCTGCTTATGGAAAATTTCTGTGGTGGGCTTCCAATTGAAAATGCTTTAATATATATATGCAGATATACTTGGTTTGAATGTTCTTTCTTCGTATCATCCTTGAAATTTCATGCAGGTTTCTTTAGTTGTTAGGTTTGATAACGCCGTGGTCCAAACCCACTAGGACTAATCATTATTTTTGATATAATTGACTTGGTTTAAATGTTCTTTCTTCATATCATTCTCAAAATTTTACGAGGTTTCTCTGGCCATACTCATTAGTAATTTCATATAAGGGTTGGTCCAAGCCCACCAAGACCCACATTCACCTCAAAATTTCATGGAGGTTTCTTTAGTCATTAATAATTTCATGCAAGGGTCCAAACCCACTAGGATCCACTATTGCCTCAAAATTTAATATAAATTTCTCTAGTTTCTCTAGTCATTAATAATTTCATATAGAGATCTAACAAAGATAGCTCTGATACCATAATAAACTGGTTTAGATAGAATTCAAACTCAAAAGCTAACTCAAAAAAGAGAAGAACTCAAAATACACACACATATATATACATTATAATAACCCACTAAATTAGTCATATAAGACAAATATAACATCTAACAAATTTAATTATATAGAAGTGGGGTTTAATATTCGTCAAAATACACATTATAATAAAACTTGCAAAGTTCTTAGATGGCGAAAATTTTATCGCCCCAATTAGGTCTACATGCAATTAATAATCATATAGATTTTTATCCTTTTTGTGTCTTGGAATTAGTGCGATTTATAATGAATGTCCTTTGACCAAGTCCATCATATATTGGCCTTGAATGTATACATCCTTTCATATTGTAAACATTAATTTCTAAAATATGTAAAATGCAATTCAATGAAGGAATAAGAATGCATTCAGTGAAGGAATATGACTACCGTCAATGAATAGATTTTCAATCACATGCTTCAAGTTTAATTTTTGAGTCCCAGAAGACTCAATTTTTAATGTGAATAGATTTAGGTGAGATGGACTTAATTTGCATCGGTAAACATCAAATGTGTGTCACACTCTGCTTTTCACCATTATACATGCATATATTCTACCTTTGGTCAATTTGTTCTAATAACTGTTCACATATTAAGAGATGACGGCTTTTCCCAACAAGTAATGCTTAATGACATTTTCCACCTACAGGCTTTTAAAATACTATTTTTTCACCCAAAAAAATTGCACTTTCTGATTCAGCAGCAAACGGAGAGCAAACTCGGTCCATTTTTTTGGGTCTTTTGAAGAGGGGAGGCTAGTAAGTTTTTTGGTGATGGAATGTTGGATTTTGGTTGTTTTGATTTGTTGGAATTTGACTTGGGAGAGACGGCTGTATAAACCCTAATCGCTCGATTGTCCACGATGATGAGGTCGACGTAAGTAAGGTTTGAGAGGTTTTTATAAATGATGATCAGAAAAGAAAATGATGGTAGTATGGGATCACAACGATGTCAGAATCGGTCAGTGATCGGTGGAGTCGGCATGAAAGTGTCATTAAATATATTTTTTTGGGTGAGAAAGTGATATTTTAAAAATCCTGAGATGAGAAAGTGTCATTAAACCTTTATTTGGGCAGGCAAAAGTCGTTTACTTACATATTAATATATTATACTTTGCCTAATTTTATTTCAAGCTTGCCCACATGCCCTGGAATGTGTATCTTTTGAAGTGATTAATGGCGTCTGTGTCATCCCCCTGAACTGCAACATACTAAAAAATATAACATCATTAAAATTATAATAATATTTTTATATATCATTTAACCAAATACGATTTATAATAACAAATAAAATGTGATGATATATAACAGTGTGATTTATGATATCTATATGTATCTTATAGTTGTGGTATGTATTTGCCAACAGGTTTGTCATCCTCGTGTAGAGATTAAACGGTAATTCGGAATTTGGAATTGAGCTCTATGACAAAACCGTAACCAGTTGACGTGATAAAATCATAAAACTGATTCCTTCTCATTGATTTGAACACTCATCTTTTAAAGAAAACAATGAAATTAAGTACACATATATGTTCTCTCTACAAAGCATATATGTGTATATATAATAGTTTGATAACTTGCTAAAATTTTCTTATCGTGAAAAAAGACCTAAATCGTAAAGCACGTGGAAATACATGCATGAAATACTTTTTAAATACATTGATCCATACAAAACTACATATTTTGAACTTCTTATTTTGCCTATATATACAGCCGAGGTTTGAACACTCATTTTTAAGAGAAAACAATGAAATATATATAAATACCTTCTGATTAACGGTTCCAACTTCCAAATTATTACTCACTCCCTTTCATTGATTTGAACCCCCATCTTTCAAAGAGTACAATGAAACAAAATACAAATACATATTCTCTCTACAAAGCATATATGTATATATAACAGTTAGACAACTTGCTGCAGTTTTCTCATCGTAAAAAAGGACTTTCTAAATTGTGAAACACATCGAAATACATGCATGGAATACTACTCAAATACACTGATCCATACAAAAATAAATATAACAAGCTCATCATTTTGTCTATAAATACATCCAAAGTATGAACACTTATTTTTCAAAGAAAACAATGAAATATATATATAAATACCTCCTGATAAACAGTTCCAATTTCTAAATTATCACTTACTCCCTTTCATTGATTGGAACTCCCATCTTTCAAAGAAAACAATGAAATAAAATACACATACATATACTCTCTACAAAGCATATATATATATATATATATGTGTGTGTGTGTGTGTGTGATAACTTGATAACTTGGTGCAATTTTCTCATTGTGAAAAGAGACCTTCTGAATTGTAAAACACAGAAGAATACATGCATGGAATGCTTTTCAAATACATCGATCCATACAAAACTACGTACAAACTCCTCATTTTGCCTATAAATACATCCAAAGTTTACACAAAAATGTCTAATAAGACGACACATCGACTGAAATCACGTGCAAAAAAATAGTTATCCGAAATACACATTTAACTATATCGATCAATTAATTAAGCACTATTTCATTTGCATTGAACAAAAAACAATATATTTTATAAGTGGTGTTATATATAGACCAAGTAAACAAATTCTTTATACAATTTCTCGATTGAATTTAATAGAATAATCACATTAAACATACTTCTTCAACATTCCTTAAACAATAATTAAGAAGATAATCAAAGTAGTGGTTAATCACCGTCTAGAAATGTATTATTTAATACAATTTCACTGCAAATTTCTTCAGTAGGTTAGCTGGCAAACATAGGTTTATATATATTAAGTTTCAAGGAACATCCCTTAACCTGTCAGTTTGTGCAGAGTCCAAGTCATTCATTACTATAATGGAGACTATATTTACGAATAAGAACACAATTTTATAGTCAATTCCACGTATTTTTAATTATATTTTTGTAGCTTTATTCTGTATTTACAACTTATTCTTGATCGATTCGACTTTCAATGTTGGTCGTTGTAAAGTACACTCCTGGAAATTTCTTGCAGGTTTCTGGAAGAAAAACTGTCGCTTAACTAGAACTATTAACACAAATTAAGGTTGGTTTGAGTTATAATCACGAGAATTTCCAAGTACTTGTTTAATTTTGTTTTATCTTATAATTCAATAAAATAGTTACCGTACTATGAAATAAAATCGCATTCACCAAGTCTTCTTCTCCAAAAAGTAAGATATCTTATAATCTCCCTCTTATTTTCCCTGTATTTTCCTTTCTTGATTTTTCCATAAACAATATGCAAAATATCCTACCTAATTACAGATTAGAAATTATTGGATATTGTGATTTGTTTTTCTATTTATTCCTATGTAAAATTGTATATCTTTAAGAAAACTATTTAATAAATTATACAATTGTAAATAAGAGTATAATTATAGGAATCCTATTATTATAGGAATCCTATTAAGAATTAATATATGAATTATATTAGAAATAAAATATCCTATGTACAACCTATAAATATAGGGGTGAGAATTAATTCAAGGTTATGAGAGAATGACAATACTACACTTACAACCCAATCTCACAAACT